GGAGAGGGAGGGGGCACAGAGGGTGGAGAGTGAGGGGGCACAGGGGATGGGAAGGGGGGAGGCACAAAGGATGGAGAGAGAGGAGGCGCAGAGGGTGGAGAGGGAGAGTGAGGGGGCACAGAGGATGGGAAGGGGTAGGCACAAAGGATGGAGAGAGAGGATGCACAGAGGGTGGAGAGGGAGAGTGAGGGGGCACAGAAGATGGAGAGAGAGGAGGCACAGAGGATGGAGAGAGAGAGTGAGGGGGCACAGAAGGTGGAGAGGGAGAGTGAGGGGGCACAGACGGTGGAGAGGGAGAGTGAGGAGGCACAAAGGGTGGAGAGGGAGAATGATGGGACACAAAGGGTGGAGAGGGAGAATGATGAGACACAAAGGATGGAGAGGGAGAGTGAGGAGACACAAAGAATGGAGAGAGAGAATTATGGTGCACTGAGGGTGGAGAGTGAGGGGGCACAGAGAATGGGAAGGGGGGAGGCACAAAGAATGGGGAGGGAGGAGGCACAAAGGATGGGGAAGGAGGAGGCACAAAGGATGGAGAAGAAGGAGGCACAGGGTTTAGAGGGAGGAGGCACAGAGAAAGGGGAGGGAGGAGGTACTGAGGATGGAGAGAGAGGAAGCACAGAGGGTGGAGAGGGAGGAGGCTCCGAGGATGGAGAGAGAGGAGGCACAGAGGGTGGAGAGGGCGGAGGGGCACAGAGACAGGAGGAGGGGGACTGTTTGAGATGTCAGAGGTGGGAATGGGTCAACGAAATATCGTGTCAGTTTGGTAGTGTTTGAGCGCTTGATCAGCAGCTCGCATTGTATGCTTCCCCGGAATCTGAGAATGTTTTTGAGTGTTGTAGTGCCATCTTGGGTAATAATAGTTGTAAAGCGTACAGAGCTTGCTGTAGAGTATGGATGTTTGCTTTATTATTATTCTTATTCTTATTGTTATTGTTATTATTTTTATTGTTGTTGTTATTATTATTATTATTATTGTTATTATTATTAATTATTATTATTGTTATTATTATCATTGTTATCGTTGTTGTCATTATTATTATTATTACTATTGTTATTATTATTATTACTATTGTTATTATAATAATTATTATTGTTATTATAATAATTATAATTATTATTGTCATTCTTACAAGCTGTGTTGCTGTCTTGTCCTCAGTCACCTGGACATCTGGACGTCCCGCTGGGCCAACATGGTCAATGGCTCCGGTAAATTAAACATCTTTGTTTACCTTTGTGTTCTGTAGTTTATCTGTTTGTGTCTTTAAATCATTCATGATTATATGGACCCTCCCCCCCTCTTCTATCTCTCTCTCTGCAACTCTCTCTCTCTGTTTCCTGTCTGTCTCTCTTTCTCTCTCTGTAACTCGCTCTCTCTGTAACTTTCTTCCTCTGTCTCCCCTCTCTCTCTCTTCCCTCTCTCTCTTTCTTTCTCCCCCCCTCCCCTTTCACCCCCCAAAAAACCCCTGTTACCGCCCCAAGTCTCAGTCACAGTGCCCAAACTGTCCCCAGTGGGTGGTTTGCTCCTTCTCTCCCATCAAACATGTATAGTCCTTATCTCATCTCTTTCTTTTCTCCGTATATTACTCACTAGTCACTTCTCTAATCTTCAGCACGGCACCTATATGACCTGATTATGCTGCAAGTAATGCAAATCTCTTACCAAAACCACTCACCCCCCCCCCTCCCCCACCAGGACAGTGCTACTGACTGAAGTTGTCTAAATGGGCTGGTTTATCAATGTCATGCTCGTACTGTTTCGGAACAATATAGGGGAAACTGCTGCTTTTTTTTTCCTCGTCCTTACTATCGTCATTTTTCCTCTACTTCTTTTGTATGTTTGTCATTCTCTTGTAAACTGCTATTTCCAGGGTGCCTTGATAGTCAAAGCAGACTTTGTGCTGTTGAAGCTAGAGAGGTGAGCAGAGAAAGCCTGATTCCCCGTTTGGACTTCTCTGTTGACATCCATCCACCCCTTGGCACTTATATGACCTTATGCAGTTGCGAGCGCTGTAAAACCTTACTAAAACTAAAGGGAAAACAATGCTCTCCCCAGACGGTACCCTGGGCCCACCCTTCCGGTTCTCTGACCAGTACACCCCGGTGTTTGTCTCGGACATCTGCAGGTAGGTTTGTGTCGCTCTGTTTGTTTGTTTGTTTGTCATTTGTTGACCAAAGCAATATGATCCTTGCCCCGTGGTTTCCCAGAAAATTGAGGTTATTCCAGTATGCTATCAGGTCTCCTGGGATAATGATGTACATTGTAAATTGCAAAGAGTGGGTTGTTGGCGGAAGTCTTTGTATTGACATTATTGCAATTAAATCTTTTTATCAAATGTAATATTTATTGTGAAATTTTTTATTTGGTATAATCAAGTAAATATTATTTTCATGGAACATAGTTAAGCAAGTGATTGTTGTGGGCTTGAGTTGTCCGTGATTTAAGGTGCCGAAAGTTTTCCTGCTGTTCTGCCATATTTCTCCTCCACTCTTCTCTCTCTCTCTTTTTCTCTCTCAGATCAATCCGGGGCTTGTACTACGAGGACGTACAAGTGAAGGGTATCACCGTGCGTCGGTACGGCGGGGACCGCTATGATATGGCCAACGCCACCGTCAACCCTGACAACATTGGCTTCTGTACGCCGAGGTCAAAGTGTCTGCCCACCGGACTCCTCAACTCCACGCTCTGTCAAGAGCCAGGTAATTCACAGCTCCTCATGATAACGGTAATAATAGTAATGATTGTAATGCTCATCATGACAATAATGATAATAATGATTGTAATAATAACAATAATAATAACTATAATGGGTATTTATATAGCTCCTCATGATAATAAAAATAAGGATTGTAATAATAAAAATAATAATAACTTTAATGGGAATTTATATAACTCCTTATGAACGTTATAATATAATAGAAATGATTGTAATAATATTAACCTTATCCGTACGATCATTTTGTACCCCCGGGGTTGTATTCTTACATTTTAGAATACTTCGGGTAAGAAGTTCTCTTTGAAGCTTTCAGTATTTCTCAAAAAAATCATTTTGACAGACTGCTATGCAAAGTGTACGGATCGGATTAATGAGTAAATTTCCTGTTTGGAAAGTAGTGGCACAGATTCCCCACGTCGTATGGATACGATAATAAAACACGAACGTACGGGTAGGGTTAATAATAATAATAACTATGTATAATGGGAATTTATATATACCATCTTATCTTTAGAAGGCTCCAAGGGCTGTACAGTACTGAGTGATTACTCAACTTACCTGTCAAATCAAAAGACAGAAAATGCACGTTATGAGACCCATACACATTATCGTATGTAAAATCTACTGGCAGAGGATGTAAAACAAATGTATGTTTAGACTTTTCTGTAACTCTCTCCCTATGCATTGACATATAAGAATGTTTCTTTTGAGCATTTTGACATGAAGTGGCATCTGTGGTATGATAGTTAAGCACTTTGATGTCCCATTCAGGAGATTCGAGTTCGATTCCTGAATGGGGAGAAAGCGTTATTGAGTATCTCTGTCGTTCTGCTTGGATGTTGTATCCATTTGGCACTGACGGGCAAGGCTGGAAAACTGCCTCCTAAATTATGTAAATTGTCTCGATGGAGGAAAATAAAAAAGAAATTGTTGACATGAGCCTATGTCTTCTGTTACGTTAATATGAGCCTATGTCTTCCCTCCATTATGTTGACATGAGTCTGTATCTTGTGAGTCTATGTCTTCTGTTACTAGTGTTACAGTGACATGAGCCTATGTCTTGTGAACATATGTCTTCTGTTACATTGATATGAGCCTGTATCTTGTGTTACATTATCATGAATCTGTTTCTTGTGAGTCTATGTCTTCTGTTACGTTGATATGAGTCTATGTCTTCTGTTATGTCGACATAAGCCTATGTCTTTCTGTTATGTTGACATGAGCCAGTTTTTTTCCGTTTCAGTGGACAAGTTCCACCTGCCGATCATCTTCTCCTTCCCCCACTTTTTGTACGCTGACCCGGCGGTTCAGGACAGCGTGTGGGGGCTAGCACCTACTGTGAAGGAACATCAGACAGTCATAGACAAAGAGCCTGTGAGTTGGGGGGGTTGGATGGAGGAGGAATATTAGGGTGGGAGTGAGGGGGAAGTACATGGGGAAGGATAGGGGAGCTGCGTGGGAGGACAGAGGGTTGGTTGTATCTATATTGTCACAAGATTCACAGAAGAGAAGGAACATCAGAGGGTCGTAGATGTTCAAAAGACGTTTTTGAAGCCTTGCCATTGATGGTTTGAGGGTGCTGCTGGCACTGGTAGCTCCCATTTCTTTCCTTTTCCTCTGTCGTTTTTGTCTGTCTATCTTGCACTTTCCTTGAACTACATAGCGGTTAATGCGTCCATATGCTTCTCTTATCTTCAAAAGTCTCAAGTTTGAGATTTAAATTTGGGCAAAGAGTAGCACATTAACACAATACTGGTAACGGTCATACAGTGCAGGGAAGAAGCAAGATAGATAGACAAAAACCACAGAGGGCAAGAAAAGAAGTAGGAACTACCAGTGGCTCCCTCCAACCACCTGCCCAGAAGTCTTGTCAGAGAATTCTAGTAGAGATATAAAGTGAGAGGAAGAGATAACTGATTGATTGGTGAAATCGAGGCTGGCATGACACGTTATATTGTGTTGTCTGTGTATTCGTAGTTCAAAGGATTGTTGTACGTTGATTTATTTTTGGGCCAGAATGCATGAAATGTGTCATTGTATTAGATTTCTAGTAGTCGAATTTTTGCAAAGTTTTTTCTTTTTTAAATTCAATTTCATTTTATTGTGAAACACCTAGAGCCACCATTGAGTGAGCATTGTTATAGAAGTGATTTTGGTGGGTGGTTGGCAGATGGTCTTTTGTGGTTTGCTCCTTCTTTCCTATCAAACACCTGGCATCCTTAATTAATTTGTCTTCTTTTTTGTGTCTGTTACTCTCTTGTAACACCTCTAATTCTAATCTTTGGCACTTATGTGGCATAATTGTATTGCAAGTGCCATAAAACTCGTACTGAAACAAAGAAAAGATCTTTATCATTATTTACATCTTTATCATAATTACTATTATTATTGTCATTGTTTTTATCATCTTCATTATTATTATTATTAATATTTTTGTCATTATTATTATTATTATTATTATTATTTTCATTATTATTATTGTTGTTATTATTATTATATCATTAGTACTATTATTATTTATATTATTATTGTCGTTATTAATATTATTATTATTATTATTTTCTCAGTGGACGGGTCTGGCGTTACGAGTTGCCAACCGACTCCAGATCAATATCTTTGTGGAGCAGGTGCAGGGCATCCCGTAAGTGTCAGAGAGAATGTGTTTCATTCTTTGTGTGGTTATTGCTGTGACACAGTTAAGGCGTAGAGACGAAAGTGGGTGGTTGGAGGGTGCCACTGAGAGTCCTTCATTTTTTCTTTCCCTCTTTTGTTTCTGTATATTTTTCTTTCTATTTCCCTTGCACTAAATGATCATTATTATGTAAAATTGTGCTTCTCTTTACTGAAACAAACAAACAAAACAGAGACTGACCCTTTTATTATTGTGTGTTTTTAAAAAAGTTTTAGTAAGAAATTTACGGCACTTGCAACACAGTAAAGTCATATAAGTGCTGAAGATTAGAGGTATTACTAGAGAGTAACAAACTCAAAAAAGAAACATAGGGGACAAAAGGATGATGGATTATTTGATCGGCAGATAGGAGGAAACAACACCAGAGCACCCACCTACTTTCAAGGGAATGTGTGTGTTTTTGTGTACAAATATATTTCTCTCTGGACTAATCACCAGCTTGTGTGTGTGTGGGGGGGGGGGGGGGGGGGGGCAGCTCAAAGTCTTTTTTTTAATGGACTGTTTTAATTCTCAGAGGAGTTTTGTGTTAGTGGTTGGGGGGTGCTCTGGTGTGGTTTGTTCCTTCTTTCATATCAAATAACTTTTATCTTAACCCTCTTCCTTTTTTTTTTTTTTTCACTGTATGTTACTCTATAGTAACACTAACACCTCTAATTTTGAGAATGTTCTGATCTATTTGTGTTTCAAGTGCTGTAAAACTCTTACTAAAACTGAATGAATAGGTTGTGCAAAGAAGAAGAAAAGATCACCACTTGTCAGCGTAGTCAGAGTTGAAAATTTTCTTTTTGCTTTGTTTCTATTATTTATTTTTTTTTATCACGTGTAGAGATTCCCTCTGGCAGGGAAAACATAGTCGTTGTTTTTTTCTACTTTAATGTATATCTTTTAAGCACTTCCATTGATACAACTAAGATCATTTAGGAGACAGGTCCAACCCAGGCTGAGAGAGATACAACATCCCAGCAGAAAGGCCGAGATGTTCAATAAAAATTTCTTCCCAACTCTGGAATTGAACTCGGGTCTCATGCATACGATAGCAAAGTGCCTAACCGCTACATCCCAAATGTCAGTAACACAATCTGTCAACCCCCTCATAGTTTTGGAATAAGAAGAGGCCGGTCAGATTTAAGATGTTAAAAAAGAAAATGAGAGTGAAAGATGAATTGTTGTAAAAGAAATTAAGAGTGAAAGACTGACTTTGGTTTTTTTCCCTTTTTTCTTCCAGTCAGACTGCCAAAGTGAGGAAATTGTTCTTCCCCATCCTGTGGATCAATGAGGTTTGTGATCCAAAGAGAAATGTTTGGCTTATGATAAGATACGATGAGAAAAATGACAGGATAAAAACAAGATAGGATGACATCAGACAATGTTCTTATTGACTTCATTTGTGTGCATTTTTTCTGTCTGTCTGTCTGTCAGACTCGATTATACACCATTTTGAAAATTGATGTATGACCGAGTTTTACACTGAGCAGTCTATATGTGTGTGTATATGTATGTGTGTATGAGAGTGAATGAACGTGTGTGTATATATATGTATGTTTGTATGTATGTATGTATGTATGTATGTATGTATGTATGTATGTATGTATGTATGTATATATGAATGTATGTATTTATGTTTGTATGTATGTATGTATGTATGTATGTATGTATGTCTCTGTGTGTGTGTGTGTGTGTGTGTGTGCGTGCGTGCGTGCAGGTGTATATGTATGTCTGTATATATGGTCGCTTTTAAGGACAAGCGGGGTAACCCAGATTTCGGGGGTTTCCAGAAATCTTGACCTGCACCAAAATTTGGCATTGCCCTACCTATAGGAGAAGTTTGGTTTCATCGGTGTGTATTTTTGTTTGGTTATAAAGAAACCTCTCCAAATCTTGTAATGAAACTGAACAAGGGCAAAAACCTTACCTTCGATTTTCTCAAAACAGCATTTTTCAGGATAGCTCACTTTTCCTTCAAAGCGACCTTATATCTGTGTGTCCCCCTAGAGCAGTCAATATATGTGTATTTATGTATTTGCCCATAGATGGGGGTTTCTTCATATACCTTACAAAATCCTTTCCTATTCCAATAAAAATGGTGCTACAGCTTTGAAATTTGTATATGTTGTGCTTAATATGATGTTTCAATAGCAGTCGGTCCATCAGAAGAAATCTTACAAACATTTTTAGTTCTTTTTCTGTCGTCAAGTTCAACAATGAAATAATTGCTGAGAAACTCGTCCTTCTACTCTTTTACTACTATAACTACATTATTTGTGGTGCTACATGAGGAATAATGATACCTGTAGATACTTTTTCTTTGTGAGCCTTCTAGATTTTCATTTTCGAACATAACTCGCGTAGTCATTTTGCAAGGCAACTTCGATTCCCCGTGACTTCGTTTCTAACGGCCATTTTGGGGCCTGGGAACGAGAATTATATTGTTCAATATTCATTCTCTGCCCTGACTGATTCCGAGGCTGTGGCCGTGCATAAATTTGCAGTAAACGGAAATCCCGCAATGCTTCGTGCTCTGTCATCATTTGTTATGCTCGGAAGAACCAATCACAAAATGAGAAATAATAGAGATGGAGGAACGTACCTTGTTCCTGTCAATCCATTCTTGGCATATTGTTGTTCGATGCAAGATGGTGAGAAGAATAATAATGGGTGAGACAAATTCATTTAAGTTTTCTTATGTCGTCATCAAATCTCAACATGTTATGTTCGAAAAAAGCGGTTATGTCCTAAAGGTTTTTCCCTCCATTTAATTAAATTGAAACCAAGTATGATTAACATCGCATTGCGTTTCAATGACCAAGTAGTGATAGATATAGATGCGACCATGCATGCTTGGCTAGGTGTCAACGAGAGGGGAAAATTTGAGGAAAATTGATACGTTCCAAAATGACAACAAACATTTATCTATTATGTGTCATCATGGTTATGTTCAAAAGATATTCTGTATTTTGCATAGAGTCATAGTGAAATGTGAATGAAGTGGTATTTTATCGCTATTAGCATGCATTATGAGTCAAACTGATCTCCTGAATCTTTGTTTGCCAAATTTTTCAAAAAATAAATTAAGATGTGAAAATGGAAAGTTTTTCATTTCTTTCGGACATAACTATAGTGACACAAATGCGAACACAAAGACATTCAGAATTTTTTTTTTTCTGTGATTTTATATGCTCTTCATGCTTATGTTTGAAAAGTAAAGCAATGAGAAAACTATCTAAATGATTTTACGTTCCTTAAATTACTTTTCAGAGTATTTTTCATTTTGTGTCATCATGGTTATGTTCGAAAGGTATTTGATATTTTGCAGAGATTCATAGTAAAATATGAATAAAGTGGCATTTTAAAAATCATTAACATGCATTGTGAGTCAAACTGAATCTTCTGAATCATTGTTTGCTCAAATTTTTATAAGAGAAGTTAAAATATGAAGGCGGAAAGTTTTTCATTTTTTTCGGACATAACTATGATGACACAAATGCAAACACAGTGGCATTCAGAATTTCTTTTTTATGTGGTCCTCTCCATTTTATATGTTCTTCATGCTTATTTTTGAAAATTAAAGCAATAAGAAAACTGTCAAAGTAGTTTTGTATGTACAAATTCTTTAAAAATGTGTCATCATAGTTATGTCCAAAAGAATTTGACTTGACGTTATGTAACACCAGTTACACAGCTTAGCATGCCACCTGTAGGTCTGGAAGTTTTTGTAGGAGGAGATTTACATGAATTGAAAAATTCAAGTTAAAACGAAATATAAAAAATCGTATCATCTACTAGAGCTGTTCCCTGGTAGCAAACCCGCTCGTGCTCGCAAGCCCTTAGTTCAAGTCTCAAGCCTCAAATTACTAGGTCAAATCATCAAATCAAATCACCAGCATGATAAGTTGAGTCTAGTCTAAGCTTCAAGTCCACACCAACTAGCAATCCGCGAAGCCACTCGTGTCAGACACCTCATCCACCCACCCTGCTTGCAATCCGCGAAGCCACTTACATCAGAAAGAGAGAGAGGGGGAGAGAGAGAGACCCCACTCACTGTGTCACTGCGCGGCGGGACGTAGAGCTGGAGTCTGCTCGATTAATCAAAGGCTTGTGAGCAGCGGACGGCCGTCAAGTCTCAAATACAGCTCTTAGTACAGCAAGACTCTTGATTCCTATGATCTGATTTGCCCTTCTCGCAACCTGGCGAGACTGTCCGCTAGTCACTACACACCAGAAGTTCCCCCCGGTAGCGAGCGGAAGGCAAAGCAAAGCACAAGCCTGCTCGCAAGCCTCTGGCGCAAGCTGTCCGCTGCTCGCAATCCTTTGATTAATCGAGCAGACTCCAGCTCTATCATCAACCCTCTGTGCTACATTTTAAGTGTCCACCTATTGGCAAAAGCTCATATGTATGTGAAGAATACAGACTACAGGGGAAAAACGACGGTAGTCACAAACTCAAAATCGTGAGGTTACCAATTTTGAACGCTTGTTGACTCATAACTGTATTTCTGTTCAACTGTTGGTTGATTATTGTTGTTAGATTTCCCATTCAACAACATTTAACAATAAACCACCAGTCAAATAAATATGAAGTTATGAGTCCACAAGCTTTTAAAATTGGCACCCTCTCAATTTCCAGTTTGTGACTACCGTCGTTTTTCCCCTGTGTTCTTCATGTGTGTATGTATGTATGTCTGTGTGTGTGTGTGTGTGTGTGTGTGCGTGTGCATGTGTGTGTGCGTCCGTGCATGCGTGCGTGCATGCGTGCGTGCATGCATGCATGTGTATATGTATGTTTGTATATAAGCCTACATGTGTGTCCCCCCAGAGCTCTGTGACAGATGACAAACATGCCAACATGCTGAAGACAGAGCTGTTCCTGCCTATGAAGATTGCCAAAATCGGCCGTGTGGTGGTCCTGGCCATCGGGGCTCTCATCATAGTTGCCAGCGTGGCCTTGCTCATACGACGACAGCGCAAGATAGCTAAGGTAGATATGACTACAACTAGAGACCACTTCTGGTATTTTCTAGATTTTCTGCAATTGTTCTCTGTGGTTTTTACGGTTGCTCCTATTTGTAAGTACAGATTTATGGGATCCTGTTCATGGCTGGGTACCATACAGTAGGGGTGGTTGGTAGGTGCTCTAGTGGGGTGTACTCCTTCTACTTGTGGTAAATCTAGGACTTTGTAATGAAATGTGTTGAACATTATATTTGTCTATATATGAAGAAATATGTTGTATTAGTTGTATGACTTATTATATGTACATGTATGGGAAGAAATGTGTTAAATAATATATGTCTATATATGTAAAGAAATGTGTTGTGTCGCATATGTACATATGTGAAGAAATGTATTGTGTGACATCATCTGTACATTTGTAAAGAAATGTGTTGTGTGACATAATAATATGTACATTTTTGTGAAGAAATGTGTTGTGTGACATATGTTCGTATGTGAAGAAATTTGCTGTATGAAGAAACATTTTCTATGACCCATGTTGGTTTGTGTGTGTCATGGAAAGGAAAAACAAAGAAACAGCTGATCAGTTCAACAAAATAACCAGGAATTGTGGGACTGCTAAATTGTCACTAGAATGTTGATGAAAACACCGAGGCAAAATCAAAGCTGTGCAACATCATTGGTTATTTTGTGGCAACTTAAGCAGTAAAGATTAAAGATCCTGTTTGCTTTTTAGTTTTTCCTCGCAAATAAAGAAATTTAATACACCGCAGTATTCAAAAGATAATTGTTGACATTGTTTCCACTGAAAATGGCATTATTTTTGGTATTTGAGAACTAGGTACTCTAAAAGTGCTCTCAAGTTCTCACCGCTCATCAGATTTCCCACAAACTCCACATGTGGTTTTCCAGCTAGAAAGATCAGAATCACATTGTCCAGGTTTTATTGTAATACAGCAATCTTTTCATATTTATGGTAAAAAGGAAAATGCCCCTCATTATAATACCATAACAGTAATATCATACTCAATATATGTGGTTCTCTATTGCCTCCGCACTATTGGTGTTGCAAAACGCAATAAAACTCTTACTAAAACTAAAGCTATCCTTAGTCCCTATTTTAGTATTTGTGTTGCAAGTACTGTAAAACTTTTTCTGAATCTTAAACTCAACCTCCTCCCTTTTTGTGTTGCAAGTACCGTAAAATTTACCTAAACTAAACCTCCCCCTCCTCCTCCCCATCCCCAGCTGAAGTACGCCATCGATCTAGCCCGGGTAAACAGCACAGGAAGCGAGGGCGCCCCGGTGACCACCAGAGGCTCCAACCGCCTGTTCCACGACCCAGTGAACACGCCTTTCACGCCCACAGTCCGCGTGTCTCCCCGATCAACGCAGAGCCGAGCGACGTCCTACGGATCTTTCCAGAGTAGCGGCGGGGACTCGCTGCACAGCCTGCCAGACAGTGACACGGCATCTACAACAAACCTACTCAACAACCATGACCAATAGACAGACATCACACAAACTTACTCAACAACCATGACCAATAGACAGACATCACACAAACCTACCCAACAACAATGACTAGTAGCCAGTGCCAGTAGTTGAAACATAACCTACTCAACAACTATGACCAATAGCAGATGTTAAAACAAAAACTTACTCAACCACTATCACCTACAGATAGATGACACCCACTACAAACTCACTCATAATAACTTACATTTATACAGCACATTTACAGTAGCTCAGGGGAATGTTTTTTGTTACTCGAGGCTAGCTGGGATGGACCGGTTTGGTTAGCATCATGCTGTTGCTGTGTGTCTGTTTTTGTTTTTCTGTTTGTGTGTTTTCTTGACCAGGCCCGTAGTGTCCACCTGCTGGAATGTCCAGTGGTCAGGTCTCACCCGAGTTTGCCAGTGAGTCTGTTTGTCTGTGATTGTTCTCGGGTAGACACCCCTAAGAGCCAGATATGATCCAACACTTCCTCAGCCCACCAGGCTACAGCGGCTGTGTTCTCGTACATCTCACAGTGCCCAGTGTATCGTGTTATATAGGCCCTATATATTTTGCTAATTTGAAATGCTTCATTTGCTTTACTATTGTCGGCAAGCTGTTCGATTCATATGTACTAAGCTCAGAAAGCCAAATTTTTCAGGAGAGAAAAAACACTTTCATTTTAAAATTAGTTTTACTTGTATTTTTTAAAATTTTTTTCAACATGTAGAGGGTAGAGTTTGAATTTTTATAAAATATTTCTTGAGCACACGCAACTGATACCACAGGCTAAGAAACTGCGATTCAAAAAATGTATTTAAAAAATCTTTTTGGCTTAGTACATCTGAACAGCTGTCCGACATTATAATTGTTCAATGTTAGCGCACATGAAAGCCACAAAGATGATTCTAGTCATGTCATGTGAGTTGACCAGCCCGTTTTTACATGTATTTTTTGTTTTTGCTTATTTGATGAAATCTTTTGTGGAAGTTGTCATTGCTAGAGGAATCTACTCTAGTCACAAGACAGGCCTGAGATTGTGAGAGCTCTTTGTGTAAGTTTTCTGTCAAGTTGTGCTGAAATCCCACCAGTCTTTCATCCGCAAAGTTCAAGGCGAAGCAAAACTGTAAATGTTGTAATGCAATATTGATCACTGTGCCTGGAACCTCATGTGTGTTAGATCAGTCACATTGTGTTCTGTACTGTACTTCTGCAAGCTGACAGACGGCCTTTTTTTTCTTCACAGCAGTATCGAGAAAAATAGGGGGGTTTTTTTTGTCTGCGTAACCATTTTAAAATAGAGTGATTCCGAAATTTGAATTGTTAAAATTTATTTAAAAACTAGTCACAGTTTCATTTTGATTTTTTCACACAAGTAAGGTTTCTGATCACTACTTTCGATTTAGCAAATAAAAAATTTAGGCGCCAAAATGAACAAAAGTGGCGTTTTGTCAGCCTACGCTGTGTACTTCACGTGCTATATTGACGAGTTTGTCTATTCTCATTGTGTTACATCAACGCACCCTGTGTACCTCATATGTTACATTAACACACCCATCTTTACGCTCAAGTCTTGCTGAAGGCTCAAAAGGATCCGTTGTACTACAGTGGAATCCTGGTATAACGAGAGGGAGGGGACCAGTGCGAAATGTCTGTTATAGCAGGATTCTCGTTATAAGGGATCCAGTTAATAAATTCAAGGGAAACAGTAAAGTAGGTCTTATCTATGAGTTTAGTGTTCTGTTTATTCCTTTTTGTACTTCCCCTAAAGATGATTTTGTTCAACATAATCTCTAGGCTAGGTCTTACTTGATCAAAAATCGAATCAGGTTACTTTCTCTAGCGCTAGCCATGTTGACAGCTCGGCGTTGACGATCAGAAAGAAGGGGCTCTGGCTCTAGGCTAACTCGCCGGCTTTGTTGTCACCCACCCCACCACACCCTGTGGTGTGTTGCGTCTGTTTGCGCACGTCACACATTCACTTCATCTATCACAGCATTGTGACCTCTCCATTCCGCACCAGAGAAGTGAGAGGCACGGTATGCTTAGATAATCTAGACTGGGCTGGCCTATTGCGCGATGTGTTCTTCTTGTCTGCACATGCCACACCCTCCCCACTAATTCGCTGCGGCCTTCCTTGTTGGTTCGCGTGGGCTCTGCCATTCTTTGTTTTGCTGGATCACCAACGACTTTCTCAACTGGCGAGGTTTTATATGTTTAATTGGTCTGTGCACTGTGCACAGCAGCAGCAATATTCCGTTATAACCGACTCGCGTGACTGTCTGATTGCGCAATAGCAATATTTTATTTACAAAGATAAAGAAGGGGGAAAAAATGGGGTTTTAGAATAGTGTCTTTATAACAGACTTCTCGTTGTTTCAGGACTCTTTATAAGTGGACTCCACTGTATTTGGTTTGGATGACATTCAAACAATCTTTTGTGGTACGAAACTTTTGATGAAAAACATAGGCCTACTGTTTTGTTATTTTGATTCTTTTTAAAAATTTATATGTATATGTAAACTGATGACATACAAGAATGTGATCTGTGACATATTGGTGATTCAAAGTATTATAAATCACCTTAATATTAATAAACCTGTGACAACTGACTGGCAGAAAACCGTGACATTTAACTATGGGCGTCATTTTCTGGTGAAAATGTCTAAAATTTGACTGTGTTGTGTGTTTTTGCTCACCAAGAATTACTCTGCTATTTATGTACTGTTTCTGTCAGGTTGAAGAATATTATAGGTCATACTCAACTATGTCCCATTATGATTATTATCTTCACATACTCAAACGTTTTCCAGTGTGTCCCATTGTTGTCTTTACATCCTCAAATATGTCTCATTATTGTCTTCACATACTCAAATATTTTCTATTATAATATTGTCTTCACATACTCAAAAATGTCCCATTAATGTCTTCACATAGACAAATTGGTCTTCAAAATGTCCTTTACATCCTCAAATTGAATGTATTGATATTAGTTGTAGGCCTATCTCATTATATGCTCCGTGTAAAAAACAGAACACTGTAAGTTACAGTGAGTGACAAGCTGGCATGTGGATGGTGGTGTTGAAAAAGGAAAAACTCAGTGTAGGCTGATTTGACTGGAGATAGAAAAGCCTGTTGCTAGTCTTAGTTCAGTTTAGCGTAAGTTTTACGACCCTCGCAACTAAATAAGGTCATATTATGAACACGCAAGTTGGTTGCACTCACAACAGTTCACAGCATAGCTTGAATTCTACTTTTTTCGAAAGGTAGGAAATGTCATTATAAATATTTAGTTTAAAAGATAAAAGCTGTACTTTACATTTTAAAACAATTATCTACATTTTACGGTAAAGGTTGATGGCCTTTATGAAATCTAAAACTCTGTTGGGATCAGCAATTTTGTACATTTAAGATAATTCCTTCAGGTTTCATCAAAGTCTTTTTTTTTTCACCAACATACTGTTAGTATGTGTCTTATGGTAAAACCTGTAAGCCTATCACATCCAACACAGATGGGTTTCTCATCTCCCTACAGGAGGTATTTATCTGTCAGGGAGGTATGTCCAATACGTAATCGAGTAAAAGCAACTTTGTTTCTTCTGGAGAGATTCGAAAGTTTTTGTGGGCCCTGTTCGGGCATAACACTGTGGAACTTGTTATTTTGTACTCACTCTAGAGTTTCTCCCACTGACTGGGGGCTAGTCAGGGTCTAGATTTACACCAAGGAGTTTACAGTAATGGAGGATGCTCTGTGGGCGGCACCGCACACCTGATAGGAGCCCTCTCTCGCAGCGGAACTGTGGTCTACCTGCTCTGCGCTTACGCACTGAAATCTAGATAAGAAAGAAGGTTTTATTACGAGATTAGGCAAGTCAATTTGTAAAAATGCCTTCCACCTGTGTTGTGTTTAAGTGTAAGAACCGATTGATGCTGCAGTGGACTGAAGTTTTCACAGGTGTTGTTTTCCTTTTTAAAAAATCTGAATGAAAGTTTTTTTATGCGCCCAACGACACAATTTAGAATTAACATTTATAACAGGCTGGCTCCAGCGCTACCTGCCAAGGCCTACCCGGGAAGAAATGGATACACTGTAACAACACCCCAGAAGAAATAATAATTGCATTTATATAGCGCATATCCATGCTCAAGAGCATGCTCTATGCGCTTTACAACTATTACAAGAAAGACCGAGATACTTGATTTTTTTAAAATATTCTTATTCTTGTGTGTGAGTGTCTGTGTGTGTGTGAGTGTGTTTGTTTGCGTGTGTGTGTGTGTATATATATATATATATATATATATCTGTATACAAATTATACTGGCGCTCATATGACCTTATGCAGTTGCGAGCGCCGTAAAACCTCTACTAAAACTAAATACATATACATTTTAATTAAAGTATATATAATTATATTGCTTTCCATTGTGTGTGTAAATTAGATGCTATGCGCAGCAGACCTTTATTTTGACGGGACAAAATCTAGAGTCTAGGTTTCTACATATATCTTGTTTTCATGTAGGCTACTAATCATATAACACACCTTAGCGTATTGAGTTCAATCAGTCAGTCAGACTTGTTTTGTTTTTAAGCCCATTCATCTCCTAATTACTATAAGACTACTGTTGTCTAAATGTAGATATCGAGAGGCTCCATTAAAATATGAAATCAATACCCAACAACAATAATGATGAATATCTTCTATGTGACATCGACCCTCTTTTGTGTTCGCTGTTCCTTACACTTAAAGCTAGTTATGGCACACGCCTAGAATCATGCAGTCATATCTTAAATTCAGTTTAAAAAATACATTTTTCACCATTTCTTATTATAATTAAATCTTTTAGCTTCTTGAAAGAGTATCTTTATAATTTGGTATGTCTGATAATTTTATGATACTTGGGTAAGTTTTCTTCTTATTTTGCCGATCTTCATAATTTTTAAACTAGCTATATAACATAAAACTCTTAAATAATTGAACAGTCCCTATGCTTTCTCAGTTGCCTAGAACAGTCTGTATCACACACAGAATTTAATTATTTTTTCTCCCTGTCATTCTATCTGTCATCCATCCCGTCAGTTGATCACAATCTCTCTCTCTCTCTGTCTTTTATTTAATTTTTCCCATTCTCCTTCGTCCCTTACCAAGGCCCGCCCCTCCTCTTTCATCCTAGCCCCATCCCCTCTTCCTTGCGTGCATTCCCCCACCCCCACAACGTGACCCAGCCCAATAAGATTCTATAAAAAGAAACACCACAGTTCGTGATTTAGACCACAGTCGGCGGCCATATTTGATCCCCACCACGGCGTGCTGCTCGTGGCGCAGCGAAGAGAGAGAGGAGGCTCCATTTGTTCTAAACTCCTTGATTTACACTAATGTTGTACTACTATATTGTGGTAGATGGGTCTGGTGTCGTAGGGAAGGACATTTTGAGACCATTGGTTGTGAGACAGTAATATGTCATTGTACATAGATATTCATAGATCATTCTCTGGGACTCGTATACATTTTTGTACATGCTCTTATTTCTCTCAGACTGCGGTCAAAGGGCCAGTATTGTAATGTGTATCAGTGCACACTCATGTATTTGGTGCACCCTCTGGTGTATGTTGGTGCACTCACAAAAGAGATGACAGAACAGGGTGAAGGGACAAAGTCCATGTCTTACTTTTACTTTCAAGGTTATTTGTTGCCTATACAGAACTGTCCAAATGTTTCCACACACATGTTGAGAAACCTGCTCTGTACTGTACTGTGCTCATATTTGGGATGTATCATCATGTTTTCCCGTATTCTAACACC